ATAAAAGCATTTAAAATTCATTAGAGCTTGAATATAACTAAATATTTCAGAAAACTTTTACTAACGTAATTCGTAGGTGGGAAGTGGAATCTTTTGTAACGATGATTTTTATGTGCTGGGTAGTCTATCAACTCTTGTTTCGAAACTTAAAGCTAAGAGTACTTTGAATCAAGTGGTTTTTGAAGAATGTCGAGGAATTGTAGTGGATTCGAAAAGAATGCCTTCAAATTTCAGAGACCATTGCTTAGCTTCGAAGGTCTCACTGAGCTTTGAAGAATTTTAGTGGATTTCCAAGGGGTTACAACAGAATCAAAGCACTCATGTTTCTAACCTCATTTCCATTTGCTCATTGCGAGTGCTGCTTTTGAATACAGGTACTCCATTTTCAAAACAAATTCAAAAAGTTCCCACTGAGCGTGTCGAAAAACACGATTTCACTTACTGATGAATCACTATCTGGCTTTTTTGGCTTTGATGAATAACTTGAAATATCTTTCGAAAATACAATGTTATTTATTGTTGATGTTGCTGTATGCTGAACAATTCCCGATGTATTCAATTGAGTTAAACATGATTCACAGTAATTGTTTTCTTGTTTGTTGTCGATTTTCTGTTTACGTTTCGTCGAAATAGGCGTGTTCCCGCAGCCAACTTGTATGGTACCTGGAAAAAAGGCTTAAAATTCAAAGTTTACGGCGTAGATTTAGCGATCTAAAGCTAATTATGCATATGGGTTGCTGATAGTGGTAAGATTACTCAGTGTCCCCTAGTTTCGCAGGAGGCGGGGAGACGTGTGTGATAGTTCCTGGTTTCTACAAGGTAGTGCGTTTCCAACATTTTTTTCAAGCTTACAAGGCTTTGTAAAAAGCTTGGTTACGCTACAGAACCCTACATCCCAAGGTTTCATATCTTATTTTCGACAAAAGTTATCCTAGGTTTGACAGAAATAAGATAAAGGCACGTAGTGTTCTATAGTACAACGCTTTTAACACAACTCTGTAACCTGGAAAAATTCTGAAACACAGGAGTTTGCCTGCGAAAGCCATAAAAACGTTTCGCTGGATTTCTATCAATAACAGCTTTCTGAACAATAAATTTCCACTTCTGAGGAGTATGGGAGAAGTTTAACAAAATAAAACATACCCATTTCTTCGCTATATTCATAAATATCTTTATTAGCACAAATATTTCGATCTCCTTTCTGCCAACCATCACATGTGAATGCTATAGAGCAATGTAATGTATCACGACATTTTAAGTTTAATACTCTATGTGTTCCCCAGAAATTAGTAAAATTTTGATTCAAATGTTGATATTTGTCTGTCATTTTCAACAATATGTCTTCTGACGCCATGCTAAATGCAATTTCAACATATTTGGATTGTTTAAAAAAGAATGACATAAGACAAAATTGATATAACATCCAGTTGTCTTGAAGAGAACGTCTATCGATTTTTTTAAAATTGGAATTATTCACATTAGGTGAATTTTCATTTTCGTGTAATTTTGATAATAAATTATTAAATTTCTGCGCATAATTATAAAAGCCAGAATACATGTGAAGAATACTACAGGTGACGTCACACAATAATTTGTAAGTGTAACCAGTTTTACCTCCAAAATAAATAATCTCTCTATTCTTTTTGTGGATACTATCCTCTGTAACGAAACGCTTAGAGCCTTGAGTGTATGTACATGGATAATATGTAATTTGGCATTTGCTACAGCAGGATTGGTAAACCTGTCCTGGTAAAGTTGATGTTAAATCAAATATAGTAATGTATTTTGAGTGATTAAACTGAAGGTTAGTTGTGCATATCAAACATTTTTTCACGAATGGCAATATTGATATGTGTAATGATGTTGACGATGATAATTCATAATGTTTTAATAAACGTTTATCCAAATCGATGAAATTCGCAAACTGATAATCGACTGAATATGGTTTATCTAATCTTTTAAGTACAGTTCCAATTTGAAATAATGAATAGGTTTTATTAAATTTCTCATTAATAAGTGTTTGTATATCAGTTAATTTTAACTTATGTTCATTATCAATTTTGCTGTTTAAATAATGAATAGATGATACCACAGATAACGGATAGCTCCTTAATAAATCGATAAATAGTGCCTCATATTCGTTAAAATTATGTGCCATAAATTAAAATCTGAAATGAGAAAAGATTTTATGGAAGCTTGTTTAAATAAATAAGTGCAAATAGATGCATGTTTATTTTTATCTGCATTATACTCAATTCATCACCATGTCTATTGAAAGTATTTCTCGATACTCAAAACAGCGTTTCTCTTTTGTTTGGT